CAGTCTATTTTGGGTCATGAAGTGCGGAAGGAAGGTGCTGCTCACCATTGCGTTCATGACGCAGCAGCTGCTATGAAACTTGTACTTGCTGTTGTGGAAAAAGGAATAGACACCACGATTGCACAATCTGTAGAGGTAAGGCGGATTTTACGATTCATTCTAAGGTTCCAACATAAATGTGTACATAGTTTTTCTGAAACACATACGAAATTTTCTTCAAAATCTTTATAAGATGATGGAGGCTGAGAAGACAAGACTGGAAGGGGAGACAGCAAAACTTCTCCTTCATAGAATCCCTCACAATGTTCCCTCTCAAGAATTACAAGGAGTTATTACCGGGGATTTCACTGTCGAAGTTAAGGTAATATTATAAACCCGAACACGGTAATCTTATTCTCATCATTTTTTTACATCACGGGGAATCAAGGATGTGTTTCTGTGATATTGTTTTTGAGCAGCCACCAAAAAGAGAAGGAGGTTTTTATACCGCAGTCATTACTTTTAATAGTCCAGATGAAGCAAATCAAGCATTTGAAAAAGTTGATGGAGACTTAGTTAAGGTATGTAGGATCTATCTCTCTGGTCATTTCAGGATCTGAAACTATCGCAAGAAAATCCAAATGGTAAGTTTTTGTTGTCTTTTTCCTTTCAGGATAGAGTGGGTTTGCCACAAAAATTGGTTGTGTTTAAGCTGAGTTCTGGATTGGGAGCTAGTTTATACGTTCGTAAAATGGTTGAAGATGGTGACGAAAACTCTGCAAAGAAGAGAAGTAACACAGAGGAGAATAATGTCTCTTCTAAGAGACAGAAGAGAGAAGAAGTAAATGTAACCCATCCCAACACAGAGAGCCTCTGCGTAGATCATTTAAAGGAAATTGAAGAACTGAAGCTGAAACTCAAAGCTAAGGAAGTTGAGGTTCAGGCTCAGGATACGATTATAGCTAAACTCAAAAAGAAACTGAAGAAACAGTCAAAGGATCGGTCATGATTTAACCATGGCTCAAATTTTGGGGATTCACTTTCACCTGTTTTTGTTGTCTGAAACATCAACCATGTCTTAGATTTTGGCTAATTTTAAGGTTAAAAAGAAGTCGGAGACTATTGTATTCCAAGTTTTGTTTTAGGGTTAAGTATTCAATTGAAGAACTCAAGACATTCTCATATGATTTTGTATTGTATACGATGAAGCCAATGCATACCAAACGATTATGCGATATTTACGAAGAAAAAAGAATATGAAATGAGACTCAACTATCTATAGTAGTATCTTCCTCATCGTTTTGTATCGTCTTCTTCAACGAGTTGCTGTTACTTTAATACCATGAAAAGCTTCCGCTTCTTGTTTCCCCTTAGAGCTCTTGCTCTTTGATCCTCTTGGCTTAGTGGAACGCCTTTTAATCGCGTCTGGGAGCTCTGAGGAAGAGGCTGGCCACGGTGTCCGCTTTGATGGAACTGTAATTTCTAAAGGCGAGTTTATGATCCAGCTGCATACAATACAAGTAAATGTGATAATGTGATGTGAGAAATTAGCTTTTGCTTCAGAGAGAATGAGTGCTTTACCCAGGAGGGAATTTGCTATCAGCTCGGGCTTCAACACGAAGCCACCAAAGCAAGACATGACGACCACAGCTTCCAAGCGGTTCCACCATGGAACGATCCTTTACTAGAGACAACGGACTATCGATTCCTTCAATATCATCCAACAAGTTTTGATCTTTAACCCATGTTGGTTTATCATCATCTACAGATTCCTTCCATAGCAACCTAGAATTCAAAACAAACCCTGACCATTCCATCTTACTAGGCATCACAGTCGCTTTATCATCGATATAAACAGCGATCTTCTTGGCGTAAGGCTGCGTGTTGAAAACGTGCCATCCGACTAATTTCTCAGATGAATCACAACTTGGACCTTGGATTGGCATTGAAGGTTTCTCTTTGTTCTTCCCTTGATCCATCGAGAGTGATGATAATTCATCTGTATTACCAGAATGAGCAAGTATTCCAATAGATAAAGCACCAAACCATTTCACAGATTGAATCTCATCAAATAACTCCAAGCTATGCATGTTGCTATCATCAACAAACATCACAATCCCATCTATCTTCTCATCTCTCACGATTCTGTTCTCCAAATCAAATGACAAAACATCCACAATTAGAACAATTTTTCAAGTCAGATCAGATTTGTGTTCAAGAGACGAAGTTTACCTCAAGGCTTGAAGACGCATTTTGGTCTCCAATTTGTGACGATCTTCCCAAGTATTCGGCATTTTCTGGTTGAATCCTAAGTGAATCGTCTTCAATCCTGATTTCGCGATAAACGAAGCAGTCTCGTTGGTTTTTCCACCAGCTTCCACTACGATCCAAACCAAATCGTAAGGGACGAGCATGAGAGAGTGCATAACTCCGGTGAGATGAAGCGCCTGGAAAGTCCGTACATAAGTCGGCGTCACCGCAATCACAGTCTTAGGGCTTCTCACACCGTACATCGATTTCTGCTCTTTCTGTACTCTTTCAAGTAGCTGATGAGCTTTCATGACCTCAATCGGATTCGGGTGAGGCCAAGGCCGGATCCGGATCCCGTGTCTACCAACCACCACCCGAGAGTTCTTCGTCACCGTGATGTTGTTAGTTGCTTCCGGAAGTTTCATCCGGAGAAGCTGGCTTACGCCGCCGTTGCCGCCGGTGAAAAGGAGAGGCGTAGTGTATAAATTTGTGACGGAAGTAGAGAAAAGGAAGAAGAGTACCAAATGGCTGAAACGAAACCCTAGAATCAAGCTGATCAAGCAGCATAGACCATGAATGATAATCCAGAACACAGACGACGGAGATTTGCCGACGAAACCTCCGTCGAATGACGGATCTAACAACGCCGATGATCGGAAACTGCTTCCTCGACGGTTCCAATAACTCAATCGAAACACAGAGAA